TACATACATACATACATACATACATACATACATACATACATACACACATAACTACACACATACATACACATACATACATACATACCTACATACATACATACATACATACATACCTACATACACACACATACACACACACACATCTACATCTACATGCGCATCTGCACCTGCACCTGCACCTACATCTACATACACGCACACACACATGTGTATATATATATACATACACACTTATGTACATATGAATATACACATATGTACACATAGTTACGGATCTACATATACATCTAATCTACATGTACATATACATTAAAACCAAAAAAGCATATACTTACACATACATGCATGCATACATGGCCCCGAATTAGTCTGTCCGTCGTTCTCCTACACGGGGGCCGCATAGGGACGCCCTCAGGAATTTAACGGCACTTTCGGGACCCCTGAGCAGGCTGTCTGTCGTGAGCTGCCCCCCGCCACAGGACCTCAAATGCCTCATCCTCTCAACCATATCGGCCTCTGGGGGGCAAGACATGAAAAGCCTCCAAAACAGTGCTAGTCAGCTGTGCTGCCGGTAGCATGTCGCCGTCTTTATTGGGAAGACGCCAGACCTGCCAGTTTTTCGTGATCTGAAACCAAACTCTAAGCCGATTGGCTGCGATGCCGGTTGCCTCACAGCGGACGGCCACGTAGAGGTTGCAGGATCCACTCCTCTCAAGACTGCCATCGGAGGTAACCGCGCTTGGCGCAAGCCCTCATGTCTCTCCACTTTGCTTCGGCCCGTCCTATGCACTGACATTCATGGTTAACTGCCAAGACCCAGTCAGAACCCTTGGACCATAAGGCCAGCTTGCAACATTAGTGGCTCTCTGATGCTGCAACTGCAACCGCTACGCTCATGCGAACGCCTGCCTGCATGGACTGTAGGCCACCGAAACCCGCTTCCTCTCATGGGTCATGACGCTGGCATCCACGGATTCAGGCGCAGTGACAAATCATGGTTAGCTCTGCGGGGGGGGGGGGGACGGACTCTGTTGTTGAAGCTCAGGTTGGCGTGATCAGGTTTGCAATTCGCGTGGTCTTCCGCTCTTGGAATGGGGACTGCATCTGATTGAAAGCTCGACGTCGTAGACGAATCCGGCAGCAACGAACAAGATCAAAGCATGTAGAGCAAGAGTTCCCACTTGATGGATGTGGTGATGAAAATCTCAATGCAAACAATTGAGGCCTGAAGCCTGCACAAAGAAGCCCCAGATGATGCTTGCCGACGTTTTGCCACTAATGACTCCGAGGAAGCCGGGCTTCGGTCTCTGCTTCTGTCCACCACGCACGCGCGGGTCCACTGAGCCCATGCTCGGTACCTCCACGACCCCCGCGACTTTGGCTTTGTTTTGGCTGTATGCAGATTTCCACGTACGTTAGGATGCAGATTTCCACGTACGTTAGGATTCAACTTGCTGTAAATATGCGGTCTCCGTTGCAACTGAAAAAACATAGCAACTGCGGCCTAGCATTCGTTGTGTATATATATATATACCTAAGGTAAGTATGTATATGTAGGTATATAAAGAACTACAACACCGAACAATGTACCTCATGGAAGGCAAAGAATGACAACGAACCTGTACCTGTGTAGCGGTTCATCGTCAGGCAGGATATGATTTCACCGGAGACAAGCTACACATCCAGTTGTGCATCCTATACACCCCTAACCTTAATGAAGCCTTGATGCACATGTCATATACTTGCTGATATACAGTATCCCTAGTTTTGCATATCATACTCTCGAACAAGAAATGTGCAACGTCTCGGGCTTTAGGGCGTCAGTAAGAGTGAAACCTCCGGTTCTCTTTCATCCCGCGAGCTTTACGGCCTTGTGGGGTTCATGTCTTTGGCCTAGGCCGGCTTGGGACTTGCGATTTAGGGCGCGCAAGAGGCGGAGGACTTGGCGAAATCCCACATAGACACCCCCCTCAACTCCTTGACGCGAGTAGCACACGGCAAATGCCAAATACTAACATTAATCACAGAAGAAGCGAATAGATAAGTCTAGTCCCACAAGCACAATACATGTGCAACATCTGTATACGGCATGCATAGACATGATTGTGTTCTATGTAAGCAGGTATAAAACTATGGGTGTATGTATGTAGACATAGTCGATGCTATGAATCTGCATGCAGAAACACATACTATATACATCTACTCCTCTATATACATGAACGCCTAGAACCCAAAACCTGAAACTTGTCCGGTCAAAAGCTTATGCTCACCGGCCTTGCGCGTCGAACCTGTCAGGGCAAAGGGGGCTCGGCGGAGATACCCAAAGGGTCCTAAGTCCCAAGGGGATACCTACCCAACCCAGAAGTACCTATCTGGGGGATACCTACGCAAGACGCCAGAGCACCTGCCATACCGGCGACATCTCTCTGCCTCTGTCTTGCACCCATTCCTATATGCGCCCTGCAAGGCTCATGACCTATGCTTCCTCGTGACTTTGGGCCTGAGATGTTCGATGCCTTGGGCATCTCCCCCTCTTCTGGCACTTGGTCGGAGACCTTGGGAAGGAATAGGCCGTTGCTTTTGTTCTGCTTTGCCTTGTGTTTGGGCTGGTCTTTAGAGGCAACCTTTCTCTCAGCTTGGAGGGTCCGGCGTTTGGTGGAGTTTGCTAAGATTCTTTCAGTGCCTGCTGCTTAGCTGAGCCTGGCTCGCGGTCTGCTGGAGGTCCGGCTGGTTGTGTTTGACTTTAGGATTGCTTCATGTAGACCGCAAGCAGGCCCCGAATCGGATGCAACCATTCTCAACTGCACAAGATGCACAAGCAAAGAACATGAAAGACGTGTGCGCCTTCGTCGACCGTCCGAATGCGAATTCCAGATATGTGCACTGTGAGGTGTCTGTATCTTCCTCTGCTCAATTGCTGCAGACTTCAAAACCAACATGTCCTCTTCTGCTGCTCAGGGACCTATGGGGCCATGTTCATCCAAAGGCTAAAAAAAATGACCCGGCAGCCGGAGCTTCAGAATCGCCTTAAGCACCAGGTACAGTACCTGCCCAAACACCAAAAACCGACAAAGCCTGGACTTGGTGTCCTCCGAGAGCCTTGGAACCCGACAGCCACGGAAACACAGCCAGCCTGCAGCCCTGGGGGTCTTGCTTTCCGGTTAGGGAACCCTAAACCCTGAACCCTAAACGCCCTGAACGGTTAGGGAAACTTTTGGATTGCTGGAAATGGCCTCGGCTTCCTGCACCCGCTGCTTCTGCTGCAGCTCGAAGGCCTCGAGGCCTGGGCAAAACGAGGTCTCGGCTCGTGAAGCACGTCAACACGCTGCAGCAAGTCCACACCCAGGTGACAAATAGTGTTCCATCGAAGCCAAATTTGGTCAGATATGACTACACTGTATCAGGGCTAGCTGCGACAGATGGCATGGGCATGATGCCGGAATCTCTATGAACATGTGATGTCTTCGTGACCGTGCTTTCTTCGGTTGGGTAGCTGTCGCCATGCCGCTACTGTGATGCATGCTGGGTCAACCTCGACTGCAGAAGAAACGACCAGTCCGTGCTGCTAAGTTTGAGAAGCTTAGTACGATGCCATGCCTGCAAAGGATACTAGTTCCGAACTTGCACCTAGCAATCCATTGAAATAGGCTGAACAAGCATGAGACCAGCGGGTTCAGGTTCGACTTCATCTTTTCGTCGAAGCTTGAAGCTCCGCAGGACGTGGTTGTCGTACCTTGAAATGCCAGAAAAGGCTTCCAACTTCAAGAGGAGTGTTCAGACTCAGGTACCCCACAAACAGGCAAACAAACATGCCTGCTTGCTCTGTATCAACTCAAAATAATAAGAGTTCGCTGCACAGAAAGGGCCTCTTGTACGAAAAGTATCAGGGGTCAAGCACCACAAGGAACAGACACCTCATGTCAATCCTAAACCCTAAACCCTTGAAAGCCAGAACTTTGAAAGTATGCCAGGTCTCATGCTCGCGTCACGAATCATCCTCATTTGCTTCAACAGCTCAGAATGGAGGAACTCTGCAACATCTGCCAGAGTCGCCCGACAGAATTGGGTTCGAGGCTTTTTCGTGACTCGAAAGTCCGAAAGGTGCTCGAGTTTCCGTGTCTGTGCTACTGGAACAAGAAAAGTGCGCTGAACTGTCAAGATGCAGCTGGCAGCAGCTGTAAAAGAACAAATCTGAATAATTGCAACTAGAGGCTTGTGATCCGGCATAGTCGCCCTAGCACGCTGAACCGTAAACAAGCCTTAAACGAAAGGTGCCATCCGAGAGTCAGCTCGAGGGGCACATCCGATGGAGCCACTTGCAGAGCTTGGCCGACCGCCACCGGTAGAGACATGCGGATCCAGTCCTAGAGGCATTATTAAGGTGCGGGGGCTACAGGGAGATAAGAGCTTCGAGTCTCGGGAGGCCCAGATTGCTCGGCTTTCGCTGTATCGTGTACTCCAGAGACAAGCCAGTGTGTACGGGAGGCTTGGCAAAGCATGTGCACGTTACTGCTGCTGTGAAGCTGTGGGAGGCAGCTTTCTCAGGGAGATGTTCCGCAGCTGCACGGCGAACGAGACGTCGAAGGCATCCTTGCTTTTCAAGACTTGTCTTGACAGCTTGCGTGTCGCCGCCTTTGAAATCTATCTCCCGTGGTCTGGTGGTTAAATATCAGACATGCGTGGCTGTTCACAAAGTCCGGGCAAGATTTGGTGCGAAGTGCACAGCCTGGAAAAAGCGGCGGGGAGGGTAGGATAGGGGGTTAACTCGAGCTGAGGAGCTGAGAGACTGGTTTGCTCGCTTTACAAGTTGACCCAGCCCAATAATCAAGGCCTGACTGATTTCAATCTCCACAAATGGTGCTATCCAGCTGTTAATCATAAATCCTCTTCACACTCGATTTGGGTCGCAACCCCAGTTCTCATGACCCGGCACGAGCTACAACCCAGACGGACACACAGACACAGACAGACAGGCAGGCAGGCAGACAGACAGACAGATAGTAATCTCTGTATCGACAGCCCGGCATCCAATCCGGAAGCTGGATAAAGCTGGCAACTTCCAGAATTGCAGGGCTCACTGTTTCTCTTCCGAGTACTACCTTGATTAGGCTTGGAGCCTCGTATCGAGCGCCCTCATCCCAAGTTAGCAAACTTCTTAACCCCGAAACAGAACTGATACCTCAAGTCTTTTTCATTTGTGTTTGCTATAGACCAATAGACTTGTGACGTCAAGTCCTATAAATCCGGAACCTTGAAGTACTAAACAGTAGCAACACAACCCATCAACCGTGCCAGTATCCCCGGCACAAATCCCCGTGGTTATAACTAACAGACAGTATCTACGTATGATTTCAAGACCTTGCGGCCCCTCGCGGTGCAATTCCATAATTGGGGCATCTTGTAATAAGGGGCCTTGACTAAGGCTGCAGCGCTAACAGGAGAGCCTCCCAACCCAAAATCCGGCTCTGGCACCTTGCGTGCCACAGGGAGCATGCAGAAGCCGACGCCTTCAGCCTCACAGTGGGCAAGGCAAGAAGGCCATGAGATGAAGTTTATAGCTTCAGGGGTTGAGAAACCGAAATGTCCATGTGAGAGTGCAGACCCTCTGCATAAAGCAGCGTTTCTGACCAAACTAACATGGAACACTGGAATCCTTCCTGATGAAGAGCTGGAACGAAAGACACGCAGCCTGGATCGTCCGCTCTCCAGGCGGCGCACACTGATCCACACAGTCAGGAATGCCAATGGTGCCGTTCCTTTCTGCTTCGCAGGGGAGGCAGGAAGCGTTGCTGACTTGCACTGGGCTTTCAAACCCTCCGCTCAAGGGGCCAAGAACTCGTCTTCCAGCTTGAGGGAGGATCCCCCACCCGGACACTGTGCATTTAAGATCTTTAAGTTTCAACTTGTGTAAAGGTTCTGTGCAGGGTCTTCCGAGGAATCGTCGGGTCGTGAAGGCCGATGTTGGTCTAGCCACTGCCTGTTGAGGCACCTAGGACCACTATACCTGGTGAACGTTGCCTCACGGAGGAAATCCAATGCTACTCTAGCAAAAGTCTGCCGACTGCTGCAATCGCGTCACCACCAGATTCTGTGACGAAAGGCTTTCAATTCACGACGCGTGGCAAACACGAGGCCAGCAAAAACAGCAAGCAGAAGATTACTTTGGCTCAGCATCGTGAGATCCAGGAGCTTCCCAGAAGTGAAACATCGCTGCATCCGCACCTGACATGAGACTGCCAGGTTTAAGCAGGTGAGCTCAACAGAATCCAAGCGCTGAGCCACGTGTCTGCACTCCAAAGCCCGATGTCAAACCTTCAAACATCACTGTCTAGGCTGCAAGAGCTCCCTAATGCATCCTGCAGCCTCAAAATCCCAAGCCGTCTCAGACCCATCCTCTCCAAGTGGCTCTTACGAGTCTTCCGGGCCCGAAAAGTCAAGCAGAGATCGAAACATCGGCGTGATCATGACCAGAATGCACTAGGTTTAGGTTTCATGCGGTCCAGACGGATATATAAGTCGTCATACAGATCTCCGTGTGTGCAAAGTAAACATGTATACACAGCTATTTGTTAGTGTGCATGTATACATAAAAGCATACATACATATATACATACATACATACATACATACATACATACATACATACATACATGCACACATACATACATACGTACATACATACATATACATATGCATATATATATATACACATACACACACATATACATATAAATAGACACAGACATTTACATATACATGTACATATGCATATACATATATAGTGTATGTGTTGGTGTGGGTCTGTGCTTATTTGTCTAGCCCTTGGTCTGTTTAATTACAAACAAACACAGACAGAGACAGAGAGAGAGAGAGAGAGAGACAGAGAGACAGAGAGACAGAGAGACAGAGAGACAGACAGACAGACAGACAGACAGACAGACAGACAGACAGACAGACAGACGAGACAGACAAA